GCAATGTTCAATTAGAGCGATTATGTCTGATTTCCACGTGCACGTTTGTGCATGTCCTTAGTGAGATGATAATACATTTTTGATTCTTCACAAACCCTGTGAGGCAGTGCTTAAGTCACAACTAACAATCTAAAGATGAGCTTTAAGATAACAACCAATACTCCAGAGATCTGCCTGCTGTTCAAAATCAAACCCATAAAGCCTTGAATGTTTTATCGGGTAGTCACAGGCAGCACTAACATAAGTCGATAAAGATGACTGCTTTGTGTGTATGTGGTTTAGATATCATTTTTAATTGTGCATTGAAGTGAATGAATGCTTCTTTGCTATTTTGCTGTTTCAGAGTTCTCGTTCCACTCGCATTCTCCGCCAGTGACTCCTCGTGATGACCTGTTGTTACGACCCGGCTCTGCTAGGCGACAGGGGATGTAACATAAATGAGCCCAGAGACAGGAGGGTTACATAAAAAGAAAAACATAAGGTTTATTAACACAACCGAAAACCGTTAGTGAAACATCTCACTAGGCAATAGGGTGATTTAAACGAACATAACAAACAACTCATATATTCAAATAACACTAATAACACCAGTAGAACACTACTCATCTAAACATCTCACAGGCAGTTACTAAACACAAAGGTTGCAAACATCAGCAATACAAAGACAAAGGCAAAGGCAGGAGGGACAGTCTGCACAGAGGCCGTAACACCTGTTCTCTGCTGGTGTCTCCTCATGTGTATTCATGTTTAGCCAGATTCCACTCTCGCTGTGTAAATAAAGACTTGTGAAAAGTTAAGTGGGTTTTTGAGTCCGCTTTTGGGTCTGAATCTTGCTTGAACCTCTGGTTCATGACAGTTGATAAATATATACACATGAGGTTGTTTAGTCACAAAACTAAATAAATAAAAGAGCATAGTTTTTATACATGCATAAAATAAATCACAATTAGTAAGAAGCACTTTACTTTTTAAATTTTATATATTGCAATGTAACTGCCTGTGACCTGCATGAGCACATAGATGCCTTTAACTGTCAAACAGCTTGCCATGAAGCCTCTGTCTGTAGCCTGCTGTGCTGACTCTATCCCCATCGCCTTACCCTTAACCAAATCTCTATGCAGAAGTTGTAAGGGAAGGATATTACTTTTGGTTGTGTAATTTTTTTGATTTTCATTTATAATCTGCTTGTACTCTGAGTTTTACTGACCAATATCATTTCAGAATGCTTTGGTCTCATACAAGTAAACAGTCTGTGTAGAAAACAATGGAGGGCATGCCTTTACCTAAATACAATCTCAAAAACTTCTCTTTTTAACATGTCTTACAACTATTTGTAAACAAGGACCATCAGGTAAAGCTCATCAAAGTTGGTCAGTAGACAGACTGATTGGTTCCCAGATTGCCTTTATGTTAAACTCTATTGGAAGTGGTGTGAGAGAAAGAGCACAATCCTTACATAATCTTTCGCCCCGGGGCAGCTATGGCTACAATGTAGCTTGCCATCACCAGTGTGTGAATGTGTGTGTGTGAATGGGTGGATGATTGAATGTAGTGTAAAGCACTTTGGGGTCCTTAGGAACTAAGTAAAGCGCTATACAAATACAGGCCATTTACCATTTTACCATTTACCATTTTAAAGGATGTTCAGCCCCCTCT